ATACTAGTTATTAAGTTAAGGCTTAAAGTATAATAATTATAAAAGTAAAGAAAATAAAATAAATAATAAATAAATTAATAATTATTAAAATATATTAACAAATAATAACTAAAGCTTTCCCTGCTTATTAAAGTCCCTTATCTCCTGTCTAAGGACTAGATCTGTAATAATCTCTTCGCTGCCGCCGCCAACCACCTATTCATTGTTAGCTGCTCTGCACTCCACATCGATTTCTGAAACAAGGAGCAAGGATACTTACAAACATCCGAAGGTCACGGCTAATCTGTTCCACCGTCGCTCCACGGCCGCCCTTTTGATAACCTGCGCCTCCAAAGATTTGCTGTGCTTCTCTACATGCGAATTCTAACATCTGCCCGCCTTGGATTTTGGCCAGGGCTATTTGACTTGCAATGTTCGGTGTCTGCCAGCCTAGACTAGATGAATTGACTTGAAAGGCGATCTGTTCAAGCCAAGCCCAGTGAGCTTCGACGCGGTGTGCAACTTCGGCGAGTTTGCGCCGTATGACTTGATTCTCCATCAACCTCTTCCCAAAAGTCTTGCGCTCTAGGGCATATGAAAACGCCATAGCGAGACAGGTACGACTCTTTCGGTTACACCCAACTGCAAGTGCAAACCTTTCCCTATTGAAATTCTTCATAATGATTTCAAAGCCCTCATTCTCTAGACCAATTCGATGATCAATAGGAACTTTGACGTCCTCGAGATCTACAAAACTAGCCCCTCCGGCGTTTTGTCCACTATTAAAGATCTTTCTTCGAGACACACCGGGGCTATCGAGCGGGATCTCGAGGACAGTGATACCTTTGGCACCTTGGCTACCAGTTCGTACAGCGGTTGTCATATGAGTTGCCCATAGAGCGCCCGTGATCCATTTTTTCGCACCGTTCACAATGTAGAATTTGCCGTCTGAAGACTTTTCCGCTGTGGTTCGAATGTTGGCCACGTCTGAACCACCACCAGGCTCCGTGATGCCTAGGCAGAAATTGACATTACCCGAAAACAGTCCTGGAAGCCAACGAGACTTTTGTTCTTGTGTCCCATAATGGAGAACTGGTGGTAGCCCAATTGTAGATGCACCGCCAAGGGCAATAGAAACTCCACCTTCAACACGAGCCATCTCGTCAGTTGCAATGAGGAAGTGAAAGGCGTCCAAATCGCTCTGGGGGATTTGTGCTAGGTTGGGGATATCCTTAGGTCGGAATTCTTCTGGTACATCCTCGAAAGGAATTCCGGACCTGCAGTAGTCAATTGCGGCTGACCGTGGAACCTCGCCTTTTTCTTCCCATTCTAAGGCATGTAGGAGGATATTCTTATCAACATATTTCCGGATACTGTCCCTCATCTTCCGGTGGGATGCATTGATGTAGGCCGAGTTGCCAGTACGGTACCACGCAGGTTCACTCCATGGTACATTTTCTGGTAAATGCAGCTTAGGATCAGGTGACATTCTCGAGGATGTTGCTAACGTTCCGAAACTTGAGCGAAATTCCTTCTAAATTAAAATATACGCAAGGTGGTAATTATTAAAGCAATAAGCTTCTAAAAGTAGTTTATGTTGCTTGCGAATTCATGGTAAGGATTGCATTATGCTGAACGTGTCATCATTACATAATGAGGGGGCTGGCTAAAGGTTTTCCCCATTCTAACCAAGGATTGGGGGGCAATAGTTTTACTTCCGAGGTTGAGACAAAACTGGGGCTAGCGTGTGGTCACATGCGCTGCTAATAGCCTCGGGAAGAGTTAGTTCTAGTAATACATAGCACAATACTAGTGCAATAATCAATGGGCAAGGGTTTTAGTTTCAAGGTTAAGATAAATAAAATGGCTTTTAATACCTTATTAAATTCTTAGTAGCAGATAAGAATGCCGTGAATTATTACTTAGATATATAACAGCTTAGTCCACAGTTATTTATTGCATAAGCAGGGCATAGCTGTTATAGTTACACCTAATTATGATAATATTATACAAGAGATTAGGCCTTATATAAATAACTAGCGATTTACTTAGCCGGAAATACCAGAGCTAACTAAGTATATCCTCCTAAACTGCCTATCTCTAGCACTAAACCCCACTCCGTTATCCCTGCGGCAGCCAATCTTCCATAGGATGTGTCTACTAGCTGTGCCATCTTTTCAGAACTCGGCTCCAGTTATACATTATTGCGATTTATCACTCATAACTGCCCTAGATAATAAGTAATAAGCTATCAGGGCTTGGAATTCGGACCTATGGTTAAGATCATGGAATAAGAGTTAATCGCTTAGGCCCCAGCTGTCGGGTTTACTTCACTACTCCCCAGATATCTCCCATTGACGACACCCAATCACAATTTTGAGTAAAACCTTTTCGGCGGAGCCGACCTCCATAGCGTCAAGCCCCGACTATCCCCGTCTATCGTTAAGGAAGATACTTATGGCCGCCATCTCAGCGAAGCGCTCAAACATCAACATCTTGAACTCCTGCCGATCCATATCCGCCCCTCGATGAGCTCAAATGACTCCAGGATGCGCCCGATGTACCCACCTGGGAGCTGTGCTACACACATAAAGTTTACTATCTGCTACAGCAAACTCGCTATGATGATCACAATCCCACGCCGGGCAGGTCAGTGGACAGCGGCCGTGAGACCTATGCCATGCGTTAGACCTCACAAATGAAGTTTCCATGTCGAACTCACCTACATCAGCATCATGGTTAGCAATACCCTTGTATATATCCCGCGAAGTTTTGTCTAGGTCACAGCCAGTAGGTATTGAGGGTTCCTGAGGCAAAGGGGTGTGATAGATGGATGCTCGGATAGGTAGTCAGGGGCCCCTGTCACGGGCCGGTGAGTTCAAGATTTCAATCCTGTGGGTTTCATTGGTCTGTTTAAACGGCAGCACGGTCATATTACCGCTAGCCTTGCGATTACGAAAACTCTTTGTATCTTTTGCAGTACTTTGCCGTTTGGGTTTGGGGTAGTTACATTCTTTACCAGTTGGTTGATGGCATTGCCGTCCGTCCCGTCCACGCTATTAACTATATTGATATCGTGATATAGCTCTTTGCATGTGATTAATCGAAGTGTGAAATATATGATTGATTCGTCCAGTCTTTCCGGTGCGGCACCGGATTCAATTAATGTCCCAAAGACAATGGTGGCCGAGCCGCCGTTTAAATGCTAGACCTCTCAGGCGGTCCGTTGTGAGATTCGTTCTCAACGCTCTCATGACGATTGGCGTAATCATCTTCGCCGCTAAGCTCCTCAAGAGTCTTGCGAGCGGTCTCTGGAATAAGGAGAGTAGTAAAACAGCCGATGAGCATGAAAAGAGCATAGATCTCAAGAACATGGTTCATCCAGGGAGCCTCATCATTCTTAGTAGCACCGTGCGTACGAAGGGTCGAGATGGCTCCCTGCCCAATAATCGATCCAATTTTGCCAGATGCGGCAGAGATGCCGTGAGAAGTAGATCGATAGCGTGTGGGAAAGACTTCACCGGGGACAACAAAGGTGGTAGTATTTGGACCTAATTTGTTAGTTAACCGCCTTAAAGGAATAAAATGGAACACTTACCAAAGTTAAAAAAGAACTGGGCAAGTACATAAATAGCAAGTAGACCACTGGAGGAAATATGATTATAGTCAAAACCCATGACCTAGTTGTTTATTAGTATTAGAAAAAAAGTATAAAAGGGGGGGAATGTACAATAAAAAGAATAGTAAGGATGATAAAGCCGCCAAGCTGAATAGGTTTACGGCCAAGAGTGTCGATAGTAGCAACAGAAACCCAATAACCCGGAACAGCTCCAGCAAGGACAATAATAATATTACCAACGGCAGTATTATAAAGGTACTCATACACGTTATGGGCATTCTTAGTCGAGTAGCCAATAACTGTAAGAATAGTGCCATTGTTCAGACTGAGACCGTAAAAAGCCACATCAAGGCAGAACCATGAGCCAGCAGTTCCAATCAGAAGCAAGAAGTTCTTAAGCTTGCCGTAGTGGTGGAAGAAGTCGCGCCAGCCGGCCTGAGGCACCTGGAGGTTCTCGCGAGCACCCTGGTGGACCTGAGCACGAGCGACTTCGTCAGTCTTACCCTCATGCCTGCCATTCATATAGGCCTTAACATCCCCATCAGCCTTCTCAACATCGCGGGCAACATCAAAAGTATAACGAGGAGTCTCAGGGATGGTTAGACGGTCTGAGGTTCCCCAAGTTAACCAATGTCAGATCTATATGTCGAGACGAACTTGGACACTTACAATAAAGGGCAATGCAAGCGGGAACGCCACCGAAGCCGACCAGGATACGCCACATCTGGTCGACGGCAACCTGACAACTTCCAGTGCAGCTAGATATATTAGAGGCACCCTCAAGATCGGATTTGAAGCCGAGAGTAAGGAACATCATGACCAGGGCAGAGCAAAGCTGGCCAAAGCCCTGCATGGCAAAGACAGCAGACATCATAGCTCCTCGCCATTTGGTAGTCGCGAATCTTTTGCATATGTCAGGCAGGGATTCGGAGTAAAGATATTCTAGCACTATAGGTCCAGGCTTACTCAGAAGTAATAATAGAAGAAAGAGGGTAGTCGCCACCAATGCCAACGCCCATGATGACGCGCCAGAAGATGATAATTCCGATAAGAGATGTTGATGGAGAGCCACCACTCAGGGCCTGAGCAAGGGTAGCAAAGATAATGATGATAAGTTCTAGGCCATACATGCGTTTTCGGCCGACGATATCAGCCAGCATACCGAAGACCAGCTGACCAACAACAGTGCCAGCTGAAGTTGAGAGCTTGATGGCGTTGTCTGAACTGGTAGGAAGCTTACCCGTGGCGGGAGAGTAGACGATGCCAAGCATAATAGTCAGCATGGAGACGCAGAAGATATCGTAAGAGTCGGTAAAGAAGCCGATACCGGCGACAACACAGGCTCGAACATGATACCAGCCAAAAGGAGCCCTGTCAATCTCGGCGAGGGCAAGACGACGACGCTCGTTGGGGTCAGCGATATGAGCAAAGTCGTTATGGACGTTGCGGAAAGCACTGTTGCCGCCAGCGGTTTTGGCGACAGCGGCCGGGGGGACACGCGCCTCTTCCTTAGCCATTTCACTGGATGGATGGGGGAACTAATAGCGTATGCCAAGAAGGGGTGATTCAAAACAAGTAGTGAGGAAACGAAGAGATAAATGCGTTTGGTATTCTTCTACTTGGATGCACCCAGTTAACCATACAAGTGAGATATTGCGCCTGCTGTCTAGACAACAAAGTAGAGTCTTCCTTTTTGGACATCAAGGTCGGCTTTATATAAATATGAAATAACCAAAAGATAAAGGTGTCTTGTTCGGTATCTTCCAACAACTAACCGGGCCTCCAGACGCCCTTCAGATGTGGTCGAACTGATGGCCCCATCTAGTCGTCTCTCGACGGACTGAAAAGAAGGCAAACGCCGCTGCTTCGGGGAGCCTCACAAGGTTCAGGATCCATACGAACGATGCGCATAGGAAATTCGAGCCTGTGAAAGACACAGGTCGAATGAATGGGTCGCTCCATCCCACGTGCGCCCAAATGCCAACATCATTGGCTGCAGGAGTGCCAAAGATTTACTAGGATCTCGGCAAATGGCACGGAATTAACGTTTACATTTCTTGCTAAGGAGAAGCCTACGACGACGATCTGGCGTCAGAAGAGACTTAATTCCCTGGGTTGGCCCCCATTATATCTTTATCCATAAATTAACGACGGAGGCGATGGCAGATTATACGACGAAACTTGTTTTCCGATGGAGCTTTCCTTTTTTGGGACACCGAGACCTCCACAGTTTGCGCCTCCGGAACTGTTATTACGCTTCATCGACCAAGTCACACCAGAGGCACTGGTAGCTGCTTTGCTAGTTGAAATCCATTAGCTAAGCGTGGCGCCTATCTTGTCTTTTGACCCCCGTCTTTAAGGTTGATACCTAATTTAACTTAGTCTAATTTCTACATATAATATAATAGCTATTTTTAATAATATTTTTAATCTTTCTAATACTTAATTAAAAATATAAAATTAATATTTTCAAGATAAATTTTATTTTTAATTATATATAATTAATTTAATACTACTGTTCAGTATTAAACTGTTTTATAAGTAGTAAAAAGGAAGGAGTTATATTATTAATTTTATGGTAAAGTCAATGCGGTTGTTTAGTTAATATCAACCTTACCGTAGCCGGTCTGCTTAGTAGCTTGTTTATGTCTATTAGCCCTGGATGTCCGGATTACTGGCATAAGAGAAAGATCACTACTCCAGTCTAACCTTGGAATTTTCAAATAAAGGCTAAGGAAGCACTAAAGTTTATCTTCTAATATTGCAGGGTAATACTAGACGGCATGATTATTTCCCTAGATAAAAGAAGTCGGGGTAAGCATTAGCGTGGATACCCGAGAAGCAATCGAATTGCTACTCTACTGATACGAGTTAGGACAACTGGGTTTATATACATTGGATTTTTCGAAGCTGGAACTGACATATCCTGGTTTAGTGATTTGAATGACCCGATTCGCGAGGACAAAACAGCTTGGTCTACTAACCAAACGCTGACGATATGAGCATCAATAATGACTCTGAGATTGGTAATAACTAGTCTGGGCTAGAGGTCGCCGGTATTAACGTCGGCATTGACTAATCCTAGTAAGAGTTTGCTAATAAAAATACGTAAAGTGATAAGTCTGAGCTAAAGGATTAAAATATATATGATAGAGACGATCATTTGATTCAAGGCCAGAAAGGAATCTCTACTTACCCCTATATTAGCTAGTAGAGATAACTAGGAGACATGAACTAATCCACCACTCCTCGCCATATTTGTCTCTTTCAGATACCTACCGGTCCAGCCTGATATGAAAGCGCGTATGACAGCCTTTGGGGGCAGTAAGTCAGTACTAATCACAAGCCGGACACTTCTCCTCACTTACCGGGTTGCTATGTGCCGGATACAGGTTATCCTTGTTGAGATCCAGATTACCAAACCGATACTCGTCGCCTTTGGTTGCATTGGGCAGCGATTCAAGCAATAGCTGTTGCACCTACTTGCTGATGAGTTTCGGGAATTCTTCCAAAGTAATGATCAAAGTCGTGCTGGTAAGACCACGCCAATCTGGATCCCAATAATTATCAATATCGCGGTATGCATCCGACCCAGCTATAGGTTCTTTGGAATGTTTCTGGTATGTGCTGTACTTCTAGTCAATTGCCTTACATTGATGAAGGCTGTACGTACCGCTCATTGACAGGGTTTTAATACTGCCCGTGAATAATACATTCGATGATCTTCTTAGCTTCTGTAACGTCCTTGCCGTTGTTACGGGCCAGGAGGCCAAATGCATACCGGGCAGAACTTCTATTCTCATGCCCAAGAGCCCCAGCACCACTGAAGTCATAAAGATACCCAGCGCTTCTATCGTAGTACGTATTCGTCCACTCCATATTCACAGTCAAGAGTTCTTTTGCATTTTCGGATAACGAGTCGACATAGGATGACGTTACCATCCCAGTCATGGCAACAAGGTCCGTAACTCCGACTTTGAATACATGCATGTTTCAGCTTGGTTTACAAAGAAAGACAGACAGCAAAGTGAATTAAGAAAAGGGGGGAGTTGATTGCGAGGAACATCGCGGAAACAGTATTTAAAGTTGGGCGATGATACACTGAACTTCTCCGCATCGAGGTATTAATTTATCGCATTAAACTTGCTTTTCCACCCGCGTCTCTAGGTTCTTATCGTGTTTATGGAGTAGTAATTGCTGATCATCGGCGATTTGACCGAAAATGGCCGGGACTACGCGAGGTTCCGCAGCCAGGGCCTTGCTAACCTTATAGCTAGGTGCAAAACACTATAGAATTTTTACTTTCTATTTTTTACTACTTTAATAATTAAAGTTATTTCTTATAACTATTTTAACTACTTCTATAGTTTTTACATAGTACCCCCTTTAACACTTTCATAGAAGCGTGTGCGAATGTCCTTTGCATGCTCGATGTTCTTCTTTGAACGTTCCTGAGTAGCCTTGGCCCTTCTTTCAAGCCACTGGTTCCTGTCTTGCACAAAAGCCTCCATTCGGTCCTGGTGTTGCTGAATCATAGCCTTTCTCTTCGGGTCCAGAGATTCCGTGTTGGGCGGTTCCGGACGCTTGCCAGCTGGAAAGTCTGGCTTGCGGGGGATTCGCTCTTCCACTGGCTGAATAGATAGCTTGGGTCCTGGTAAAGTCTGGTACCAGTACGCGGTCGTGGACCAGTCATCCCGAAGATGGTTCGCGTGCCCAGACTCCATTGTGACACGAATCTTCCTGCTGAAACGGACGGGATCCGCAAGGTGCCATCGATAGCTGACTTGGTGGTTGGGAACATCCTCCTCATGGATTATAGTGCCACAGAAAGGGTAAGCATTCTTCTGCATGCCCCAGCCTTGGGTGAAATAGTCTTCGCCGCCAGTACCGTGCATCGACGGGGGCCAGGTGTCGTCGTCGATGAATATCATGTCGTCGCCCTCACCCCACCAGGTTCCCTGGAAGTGGGCAACGCTGTGGTTGCAGCCTATGTATTGCCCAGCACCCTCCGTCTCCAGGATGACATAGTTGCCTTTGCCGTCAAGATTCGGAACCTGAGTCTCCAGGCTGTTGGTCTGAATGCTTTCCGGAGCCCAGCCGTTGGTAGGATTCTCACGTCGCCAGTGTGAATGAAAGTAGAGTGTATCCTTACCCAGAGGCTCGGGGAAAAGCTCGTAGTCTATATAGAAGTATTGGAAGTAGGCCTCATCGTTCTGATTCTCGATTTCGATGCGAGCCCGCTTATTGAAAGGCATTGGAAGATAACAGTTGAAAGCAGCAGCACCACCAAACTTCTTTTCTTCAGACGGCTTGACAGAAACCGTGAAGGGGAGTGATTGGAAGTTGGCTGCCATGGAGTGGCCAAGGCAGAAGAAATCGCCGATGGGGGCTAGGACGTTTGGGGTCTCGGAATCGTCCCAGTACATCTTGATAATAACTTTCCGGTAGTAATCCGGGTCACTGACTTCATAGTTGAGGCCGAGAGCGTTGTGCACCTCCATCATGGCAACACCCGACTTGGAGTATGGGATGAGACCAGGTCCCACGATGCGGCGGCAAGTCTGGACAAACCACAAGTGGGTGATAGTACCAGGGCCCTCGAGGTCTGCCAAGACAGCCGTCTCACCTGGCTGAATTACCCAAGCATCTTCGTTGAGACCACTGTGATCCCAGCTGGAAACACGGGCAGTGCGCGCTGTCTTCAACTTTGCAACATTGTTAAGGATGCCACCTTGAAGAGAGGAAATGGGATTGGTCATGATGATAGGGGGCACTAAGAATAATTATTGCTTGTGTGTAAAGTAGAAGAACCTTGTGAGTTGAAGAGATGAGTTGGGGTGAAGACCGTTGATCCCAAGGGGACATATATACCTTCATCCTGATGACGATAGTGGGTTACTTTTCATGGAGTGAACCCAGTCAACGAGCCCTTCAGTGCCGCCGCTGTCCAACATTCAGACAACTATGCCCGAGGAATCGGGATTGAAGCTTTTGCTGACCTATGCTTTCGGAATGCCACCGCGACGCGTAGGAAAGCTGCTAGTGTCGAGAGGGAATGGTTTGGCCAATGACATTTTGAGATAGAGGGTCCGTGCCTTGATGTGGAGTGATATCGCGGGGTTAGGTTTACCTCCGCGAAATGGTGAGGTGCTAAGGTTTCAGCGATTTCCGCTTCCATCATTCGTCCTTGGTCGTTCATCGCGGAGATAAAAAGTCCTCCCGATCTTTCCCCTCCCCAGGTTCTGTCGCGGACGTCGGGCATTATACTGTATTTCAACATGTCAGACCCGCACGCTGGATCCCAATCTGGAGGCAGCCCGCCGGCGTTGCGAAGGAAGACGCGGACTCGGACGACCACCGCGTGCACAGCCTGCCGGGCGAGAAGAACCCGATGTGACAGCCAGAAGCCGGGGTGCGGCTATTGTCGTATCCGCGGACTCAAGTGCCAATACGAGCAGAGCATACCGGTCCCTCCAAATAGGTAACTTCAACCATCAATTTAGCATTAAATCACTCACCTGATGGGTGCTAACCTGTGCCGATAGAGTCGAGGCAGAACTCGCGGCAATACACGAGCGGCTGGACTACATCGTTGGGAGACTGCCCTTGGACGCTACCCAACAGCCTACCATTGTTCCCCACGGAGTATTGGTGGACCCCAGCCAGGGATGCCATGTCTTCACTGGCGAGGAGAAACTACCTTTCCAATTGCTCGGAACCGAGTGCGTCATGGCCATCCTTGGTCTTGGCCCTGGTTTTGCTGAGGAGATTGCGAGGCTCGAGAGAAATGTTCCGCCCGTATGGTCAGGCCACTCATCGAGGATGCACCTCATCCAACAACAACATGCCCTTATGGCTCTCGCTGCCTTCTCCAGATATATCCACATTTGGTACCCAATACTACACCCTGGCTTTTCAACACGCTATCTTAGCATCATCTCAGGAACTCTGACGCCGGGTCCCGAGTCATGTCTGGGACTGCTGGTGGCCGCAGTTGGCGCTCTTGCCCAGCGGGACTATCAATTAGGAGGCTCTGGTTCTGAAAACAGCAGTGAGCTCTACTTAGAAGTCGCCATGGCCTCGTTGCCTGCGGTACTCACCGACAAGAGCATCGAGAGCGTCCAGTGTCTGTTCTTGCTAGGAATTTACCACTGTTGTGTTTCTAAGCCGAGCCAGGCATACGACTACACCATGATGGCGTCCTTCAAGGTGCAGAATCTACTCAAGCACGTGGGAGCAAGCGCCGGTGAACCTTACCAACAAGCTATAAGAGCCTATTGGGCGATCCTTCTCCTCGAGAGTGAGCTTCGTGTTCAGCTTGACGTTGTGGAAAGCGGTATCTGGAACCAAGACGATAAAGTAGCCTTGCCCAGTAGCCGCCGTGCATGGCAATTCAATATTGATACAGGATCGCCTGAAAGCACGAACACTTCACCAGCGGGCAGCATCATGTCTGCCGCTGAGATACCTCAAAATGACAGAACGCAGTCGTTCTTCCTCGCTGAAATCTCCATGAGACGAATGTTGCACCGTTGCAATACAGCTATCCGCAAGAGTTCTCATGGCGAGGTAGTTTATGCTCCCAGTATCGCTTTAGAGCTCGAGCTCCAACTCGATGAATGGTATGACTATTTGCCACATGTCGTTCGCTTTCAGCAGCTCCAAGTCAACAATCTCGCGGATAACGACAACTTACTATATGCTGAGCCTCTTAGCATCTTCCTCCGGGTCCAGTATTACTGCTGCAAACTATCGATATATTGGCCAGCGATTTACCAGAGTATCCAAGATGGTACAGCGACTCCTGAAGTTTTTCAACATTGCGAAAAATTCTTTAGTGCGTATACCCAGTTGATGCCTAGTATCTTGATTTCTATTCAAAACTGTATCGTCAATCGCTGGACGCTTTATTCAACTATCTTCATGTCATCGCTTGCAGTTATAAAGGCGTCCCAAACTAGTTGCATTCGAGTTAATTGCGTGGTGGATTGGTCTCATCTTATTGCGTGTTTGAAATCTACGTTGTCTGTCGATAAACGGATTATCGAGGCCAGTCCGTCATTAATATTGATGGAAAGTACGCTAAATCGGCGACTGACAGAATTCCAGCTTTGGCTTGGGGAAGAGATAAGTAGGTCTTAATCAACAATATCTAAATTGGTGCAATTATACAGTAGTTCAGGTTTCTCTCATAATGTATTTGACATCTAAGCCATCCCAAACCTTTACGGTTTCAAATGAAGCACTGTTGATCTCTCCGGTAGCGAACGCAGTGATTCCACCCATGTCTGGGCCGTAGTTTTCGGAATACACCATAGTGGCAAACGCGAAGCGGTCGTTGGCGAAGATTTCGAGAATATCCCCGTCTGAGAAGATGCGAATTCTAAGCTTCTCCCATATCACTTCATCTCCCGCATCCGGCCGCGTCAGAGCCAGTAGCGTAAAGGGTCCGGCATCCGGGCATTTATTAACTGTTTGATCGTCATTGGAAGCTTTCCGTTCAATGAGAATGGTCTCTTTAGCGATACAGAATGTAAGGGTCGTACGAATCGAAAGATCGTTACTGTGACGAAGATGGAAACCAACGGATTGGCATCCGGGATGGACGGCAATTTCCGCCTCCAGCTCCCAGCTTGGTGACTGTGTGCGAGCAATTGTTCGGGAAGCTGCAGTATCTGGCCCAGGCAGCATGACAGTAGATTCCAGCTCTGTTATCCTGGCACTAGTCTCCCTGAGTCTCGCCATCTCTCTGATAGGCCTCACACCTAGAGTCAAAACGGTAGTAGAACCGTCCGGTTCCGCTAGTTGCTCAAAGGGATATATTTCGGAGAGTTCGCTGCGGCAAGTCCCTTTGATATTGGGAATCCGAAGGAGGAAAACCTCCCGTAGAATTGCGAGAGAGCCATTCCAACCCTTTGCTTTAGCAGCGTCTGCGGTGATGTCTTCTTCTGGGATCCAGCCGTGCACAATGCGGCGGTTGCCGATGGGATCCCAGAACGAGTTCGCGGCGTAATACGGTCCATTATCGAGAAAGCCACCGTGTTCGTATCGAAATTTAATGATGCCCTCATCATTCGTGGTGAGATGACCTGACATCCACAGCTGGGTCCTTATGGTACGTGAAGGAACTCCCGGGGGTCCATTGTCCTTCTTCACGTGCTCCTTTTCAACATCACCTTCAGCTCCGATGATAAGGAAGTGGCGTGAAACATCACCTGCGCAAAGCGTCACCAAATTGGTGCACTCCCAGTTGATGCCGTAGTTGCCACTCCACGTATCTGACGGTTGATATCGGAGCGGAACATCCACAAGAGGATTGAGATACTTCCAATCCTCAAGATTTTCTTGGGATATCTCATAGAGAAAGGTTGTAGGACCTAGATCCTGTATCCCACCACTGATCAGCCCGTAAAGCTTTGCCGGGTCACTGTGGTGGATGGACAGCGGAGCCGTCACGTAAGGGTCGCGGAAGCCAGTGATGTTCAAGCTGTCTGGCTCACCAGGCAATATTGGATTGCGAGGAGACTTTTCCCAAGTGATACCTCCATCGCGGGAGGTTGCCAGTGCTAAACCGGCTGCATGACGTGGGTATGGTGGGGTGCTCCAGTGAAATGGCAGATGCTTCACAGAGGAATAAGCAACCCTCAGTGTCCTGTCGTTGGCGTTAGTGGCAGGAACCCAGCACCCAGTGAAGACGCCTTCAGAGTCATAGATCTGGTCTGGGACAAGAACTGGTGAAACCGGAGCTGGTGTCCATGTCAATAAATCCCTAGACACCAGATGGCCCCAGGACATGTTACCCCATTCGCAGCTCGATGGGTTGCCTGCCAAAACATGCTATTTAGCGCAAACAACTCAGGTGGCACGTCTAAAAAGGTAGATACGTACATTGGTAGAATACATGGTAGGTATTGGTCCATGGGTCGTATCCCGGAGCACAAGGATCGTTGATCCAGCTGTTTGCCGTAAAATGGATTCTAGGCCGTTCGAAGCCACTTTTCCAGGTCTGTTGTAACTGGTACGCCATCTGACTAATCCGCGTCAAGCCTATAGGTTGTTTCGCTATCAAGTTGAGGATGCCGATACTATTGGGAAACTGAAGCCTAGTCAACATAGTTATAGATGTCGATTCGAGCGGGGCGTGGTCGGCGTATCTTCGTGTTGCGCTAAACCCCCTCGGCGGATTCTGATGGGGACATCGGCATTTCCTAGCTGTGGGGCACATCGCGGAGCTCAAGATAGCTCCGCGAAGCTTGGAGAAATTTACAAGTGGAACGATGTAACTTGACAGACACGTGACAATGCTAACTCTAGTCTCTACGTAATTCCGTATGGAAACATAAGGCGGAGGTAGTTCTCCACCCCAAGCCCCTGGCTTCGCTTGCATTTGCATTGGCAACCTTACCCCATACCCCGGATCATCAGACAATCCAACTGTCTGGATGCACTAACCCCGGATCGATTAGACGACTCAGCTGGCAGGGCTATAAGTATTCCATGTCGGACCTGGCAAAGGTCGACTTGGTCTACAGTCACTCAGTACAGGAGCAAGCCCTTTCTGCCTAATATTACCTCAATACTTCAACTTCAACACGTCAAAGTTACAATGACCCTAATTCATGGGTAAGCGCGTCTTGATCGTTCCACTGAGAAATCTCAGCCGGCCACTGACTATTGCACCGCAGAGTGGATTATTCCGTTGTCGATCCAGACAACAAATGGAAGATTCTTAGGTCGCAGTCGCGGTTTGCCCTTTGGGGTAAGTTAAGCCCTTTACTCGCAGCTGCCTGTCGTCTGTTTCCATCAGCTCACAACAGCAACTAGCTCTGCTGATCTCGACTGGCGTTGTCATGCAAGGGTTTGACATCGTGGCCGGCGGTCAGCTCGCTGCTTTGCCTGAATTTAGGGAAAAGTTCGGAGTGCTCAAGTCGGACGGTACCTACCTCATTCCGGCTCACTATCTCTCCGCCTGGAACTCGATCGCCCCCGCTACCGAAATCGTCGCTACCTTTATCTTTGCGCCGTTACTCGAACGGTTCGGTCGAAAATGGGGCATTTTGGCAGCATCTATCATCTCAGTTGCTGGGGTCCTTCTCCAACAACTTGCTCCAGACTGGAGGATGCATCTGGCAGGACGGGGTGTCAACGGTATCGCGATTGGTATGATGTTCACCATCTCGCCTCTATGGATTGGCGAGACTTGCCGTCCCGAGCTCCGTGGCTTCTTTCTGTGCTTCTTCAATACTAGTATCGTCTTCGGCCAGTTTGCTATCGTCATTGTAAGCCAGGGGAGCAGTCACATTTCTGGCAAATGGCAATGGTGGCTTCCTGTCGTGGCTATGTACATTTTCCCTCGTACGTTGTATCTGTCTTCCCGCGATTTCTAGTCACTAATGTAGAGCCCTATACTACAGTCATCTTAACCATATCCTGGCCTTTCTTCCCCGAGTCCCCCTATTGGCTTATCAGACGTGGCCGAGTAGGCGATGCTAAGAAAGCACTCCGCCGTATATATGGTTTCAACGATACCGAATACTACGATATAGAAGTCAGACGCATCGAGGAAGAAATTCGACTCACCAACGACCTGCATGGTAACGTTGACAACACACCTCCAAAGAGAATCTTGGGCATCAACGTACAAGCGGAAACAGAATGCTTCAACAAACTTAACCGCAAGCGTACTTTTACTGCTATTTTTGCTGCCTCAGCTCAACAAATGATTGGAGCAACCTTTGTAATCGGCTACGCGACATACTTCCTTGAACTCATCGGCGTCAAAGACTATTTTGGCGCCTCGATCGCTTTATATGTTGTTATGCTTGTCGCTAGCACTGCCGCGTTTCCCCTCACAGAGATATTTGGTCGTCGATTTCTCATTGTCGGTCCCCAGTTCGTACTCTGCTTGATGCTACTGATCATGGGAATCCTGGGATGCATTCCCGATACGAAAAGGGCAAGCTGGGGTATCGTGGGCATGCTGTATGTTTGGGCGCTGATCTATCAGCTCTCGATCGGCGCCACGGGATTTGTCCTGGCGTCGGAAATTGCAACCATGCGGCTCAGAGCGGCGACTCAAGGCTTCATCACCATCACTAACTCGGTATGGGGTCTGATCATGCAGTTTACAGTCCCGTATATGATTAATCCCGACGCCGGAGACCTGGGCGGAAAGGTCGGGTTTATATTCTTGGCTACTGGATTGATCGCCGGTTTCGGCGGCTGGTGGTTGTTTCCCGAAACCAAAGGTCTTTCATTTGAGAAGATGGACGAGCTTTATGCAATGAACGTCCCTCCTAGGAAGTTTAAAGAGATTGTTGCAAGGTCTGATGGTCTAGAGACTGTTTTGACTGATACAAAGACATCTAAAGGCGTAGTTATAGTAGAGAGAGCTTAGTACTTAAGGGGATATTAATAATAATATTTATAAGGTACTTATGTACTATTATAAATACTTTAAAATAGTACTTATTAAAGAGGTTATTAAATTTACTAAGGCCTATCTTAGTAATAAACCTTTACCACTTAAGCTAATAAATACTATAAGGGCTATTAAGATTAATACTACCTTATAAGAGGTATTTATTAATAAAAAGTAAATTAAGTATTATATTAAAAATCCCAAGTTATAATAAATAAAGATAAGAAGTAACCATAACCCTGAGCGACGGCACCCTTCAATTTCTCTAACTTGCAGATAGCATAATACCAATGCCGATTACCTCGGAGTCTGCACGGACTCTGGCAGGAGCCAGGGCCGTTTCCCGTCTTCTGAGAGCTTCTGCCGACAATGCAAGGATGAACTACTAGGTGGACAATTGCTTTCACTTGTGCGGAGCATATCGTTCCGCTACTACGTTATGGTATGACAATTTTTCCGTGAGTTGCCATTGCTCGATCCCCATTTTCTGTAGCTCAGTATTGAATGATCACTGTGACCAGCAGTCTCTTTTCGCATAACAGCCACACGTTCGTCCAATATATGCCCTAAAGCAGCCAATGAGGGGATATGAGGGCTTATATCTGTAAAGACTTGAATGGCTCGAGTAAAGCTGTTGCGTAGCTCATCACTGTTGAACTCTTTATAGAAAGATGGAAGTGTTATTGCTCTCAGGGCCGCCATGGTTATGATAAAGATACTTTGAAAGGAATCGGGTTAGTATAGAGGCAACTAGCACACAGAAGATCAAGCCCAAAAACACGCACCTTGTAGCTAAAGTCCAACTATTGACCCGGCAGCTCTTCAAAGTGGATGCAGCCGCAGAGATGAATGTGATGTAAGCTTTGAAATATTTGGCACAGTACTGGGATAACTCATCGCTAATCTTGCCAAGCTCAATGGATTGGTACACGGCGGGCCAGTAGATGGAGGCTTTACAGGCGAAGAACTGAGCCTGTAAAAATTGTGCGTTCGGATGTAAAGCTCCATGATCCCTATCATCCAGGCTTTTGGGAAATCGTAATAGTGGTGGAAGGTAATCGTACCATTCGTGAAGATGCAACTCTAGCTCAGTCGCAATAACTGGGGCGTATCGTAGACCCCCGCCGGCAGACCTCCTCACAGATGTAGTACAGCGCTGAAGCATACGGCGCATTGCTATTTCAGCAACAAAGTACACAAGAGTGTTATCAGCAGGAGCGTTGCCCGGTATCGATGAGAAGTGTGACGATGATCGAAGAGTAGCCGTATCTGTCTGGGTTGGGTGGAGCGGGAAATGCCATACCGTGCTGGCTGATGGCAGAGGAACAGAGTCATTGAAGGCCCAGATCCCGCTTTGAGGTAGGTCAAGTTGGATCAGAAGTTCGCTCTCAATGAGGAGGATGGTCCAGTAAGCACGGCCGAGGAGTTCTCCTGAGTCAGAGTTTGGGGGGTACTGATGACTCCGTAGCATATTTTGTACACGGGACGATGCCGCGAGAATGTAATCGTGTGCCTGGCATGGCTGAAGAAGATGCAAATGGTATATCGCAAAGAGAACGAGGCATTGTAGAGCGGGAATAGAATGTTCCAAGAAGACGTTTTGGAGGAATGAGGTGGCCTCGTGAATGTACACAAGTTCCGGTCTCCTATCGAGAGGAACAGCAGCATTGCCATTACCCGCCATGCAGCCAATGGCAAGAACTAGAATGGCGAGACATGAATTGACAGGTGAACTGCCCACGTTGCCAATAGTGTAGAAGAATATGTCAGAGAACTCGACAGAGAAGAGAGGATACCACGTATGGACATGCTCAGAGAAACTGGCCAAGTCGGTGGTCAGTCGGTGAGACTGCATCATTAACAACCTCGACGTACTGAAACCAGGTGTCGCGCCAACCAACGCCGGATACCCTGCGATAGCGCGCTCCATGTTGATAAGCCATCTTGCTAATTCAAGGTCAAGATCGAGCAAGCGCATCATGGACCTGCGCTGGATGATCATGAAGGGAAATTCAATGTAGACTCCATCACGGTCAGCCAGGCTTACGTGGCCGGTCTCGGATATGTCGATCGCCGGGCGTGGAGATGGTGTCGCATGGTGAACCGGCTGGTTCTCCTCGATATGACGATCAGATGTCAAGAGGGCTGTTATTTGGTCTAGCCTTTGGCGGATCTCGGAAATATCAACTTCCAGCCTGTCTGGACTGTTAGCCTCGTGCTATCTTAGTGATATCGCCAAGATTTGAGATAGTAACATTAGGGCGGCCAACATCCTAGGGGTTTACCTTGACGGACGTGCCTCAGGGACGGCACGGTAGATACACTCGGCACCGTTCAGCTCGCAGGGACCACACTGGGGTTGACGAGCATCGCATTTAATTTTCCTTAAACGACACAGATCGCAGGCTAGGATTGATCTGCGCCTTTGATATTCGGTCATGGTAGTTTTGTGGCTGCGGGAAACAAATTGCAGGACTAACAGGGGGACGGGGTGGCTGCGGGTAAAAAAAGGCTGCTATGGCGGAAATAAGATCTACTGACGAGACGAAAGTAGCGTCTTGTCCTGTCAAAGGAAACTGGAGTAATGTGGTCGACTTAAAAAACGGTGACTGGCTGAGCCTGTGCGTGCAGGACTCTGTTCCTGTTCAGCTGTGCCGCGGATGTCGTACTTTGTGGAGTGGAGTGGATAAGATGGGCACGCGGAGTTAAATGTTGCTCCGCGATAGGCTCATTTTATTCAGTACGGCGGGCCTTGCAAATAAAAAGAGCTAACCTAGATGCTGACATCTCTAGGCTTTGATGAATATTTGCAGATATTTCAGGCTAAGCTGCCAGGAACAGATACTGATCAGGACTGTAATTGAAACCAGACTTTTGGCTGCTTTTGCTGATGTATGGCCTCAAGATGTGACACCTTCGGCCAAATTCTAGACGGCTTGCCCGAGTGGAAGAGTGAGGAAACGTTGGTGACCCACCTGAATTTTCTTGACCGCATGAGGCTCGGAGAGAATGAGTGACACGAGTCCGAGCCTTTCGTCTCACATGTTTGCCAAGGAGATCATTGGCCTTGATCTCAGCTCGTACTATGTATGAAGAATCGCGCAGGGGGGCTATGCCAAACCCCAGTCATCTGGAAGCGACACCAGGCTAACCGAGTCCAACAATCTCTCGCACCGAGAAGTAGTCCGGTTGTGGCCCGTGAGACCTATAAAGCGAGTATGGGTCGCAGATGACGTCAAGCAAAATGGGCAAGTTTCTCAGCAAAGCCGGGCGACTTTTACTCTATATCGTTTCTAGAAAAGTATCGGTGAGACGGAAGCGAGCTAGACGCACGCACCTCCACCATTTAGCAATGCAACAGTGACTGGATTTGGAACTCGGGATATCACCATGTTGGGTGCGGGGTTGGACTGCCAGTGGTTCGAGCCGAGCTCCAGTACAGCTTTGTGATTACATATCATAGCTGCAGATCGACAGATATCAAGATACAGTGGGGCGGCAAAAGTTCCGACACATTCCGGGTCCAACCCCGCTTTCAATTAAACATCAACATCAACACCATAACTTCATCGCGTTATTTCAATAGATTAAAATGCCCCGATTAAGGCGAAAAGTATATTATTCTCCTTATATAAGAATGAGGTTTATAACGATATATAAATCAGGCGTTCGCATTCAGGATATTGCAGATAAAAAGGGGTTAAGTCGTTATGCAATCTACGGGGTTATTCAACGCAGTTAATATTAAAAGTCCGCCAAAGATAAACCATAATCTAGCAGGCCCTAAATCTTATCAGATCAGGACAAAAGTCATATCAAAATACTTATCAGGAATAACCCTTTTATCTTATATAAAGATATTAAGAATCAGGCGTAATTAAATGCCTTAATAAGAATAATTTATTACTAGCTTCTTAATAAGGGGATATAATACAGGCTTACACTTTAACGCCTATTTCTTAGCAAAGAAGCTGCTTAATTAAGGAAATCTTTCTTAGATAAAATACTATTATAAAGATAAGTCTTTTTAGTATAGTTAGTAGTTTTCTAATAAGGTTATAATCAACTATATAGATAGTAATTATACTAAGTAGTTATTTTATTTAGCTATAAGTCTAGGGACTTCTATTTTAAAAGCTTCTTCTTATTACGATCCTAGCGGTTATGTCACGTGTACCCCACATTTTTCACCAATCACGCATAATTATTACAGACTAAGAGATTCTATTCGTGACCGCTAAGATCCAGTCACAATAATCACTTTAAAAACACCAGTAATTCTTAGAATCATATAGTAACCACGCAGGTTACTCTATAACCACCTCAAGTATATAAACCATATTTATTACACTTCCATAGAACTTATCTTACTAGCTATTAATAAAACTTCTTTATATTAATTAAGCCTAATATATATTAAATCTACTATTAAGAGATATAATACTTTAATAAGCTTAGCATTACGCCCTATACCATCTGCTAATAATAAACTTAGCATAGCTTAGTTTATCTATAGTTAGAAACTAACTATTATACGTTAATAGCTCTTATTTAGACCATACCATATAACGCTAAGTAATATAAATATAATAGCTGCCTACATCAACCCTACACAGTAACACACTGCACCTCATACTACTCTAGCACCTATTAATAATAATTAGGATATAGATAATAATTCTAAGAGTAGCACTAACTCTAATATTACCTAGCTCTATTAGCAGATAACTAATATAATAACTAAAATAGATAACCTTAGATAAGCCTTAGCTAAAGCCGCTGTATTCTAGGTATAGCAGGCCGCTAACCACTAAAACGCGATTTAGGAAATATATTAACTCACCGCTACTACAGTAAATAGGAAAGAATTAAGGGAAATTCTTAAACCTAATACACCTGAATTATTTAATAGAAACCCTGCTAAACTAGCTACCTTCCTTACTTAATGCCAAGCCTATATAAGTTACTTTCTAAACCAGTTTGCTAATAATAATAATAGGGTTATATATATATTAGGATATCTTAAAGGTAATACTGCCTAATAGTTTTAACCTATATTAGAAGTAATTACTACTATGCTAAAAGATAAACTGTTACCTAGAACTTTTTAAATTTATAATAATTATATTAAATTTAAGAAAGCTATATAATAAGTATTTAGGTTAGTTAATAAAAAAAGCTAAGTAGAAAGAAAGATTAAAATACTTTAATAAACTAAATCTGTATTAGAGTATAAAACTAAATTTCTCTAATTAGCCACTAAGCTAGGATAGGACTAGGAACCCCTTATATTACTTTTTTTTAATAGACTTAAAGAAATAATTTAAGTAGAACTTTATAAGGAAGCTAGACTAAGGATACTAGTTAATTATATTAGCAAAGCCATTAAGGTTAATAATATATAATTCTAATAGAGAATCTGCTATAACTAAAATAACTAAGGATGCCAGGGAAATAAGCTATGCTATAATGCTAACCAGGGAAAGAAATAAAATAATAATACTTCTTATGGCACTAACTCTAGACTAATAACTATTAGAATAACTAAGAAAGATAAATCTAAAATTACTTACTAGAACTGCAGTAAGAAAGGATATTATAATTTAAAATATAAGAACCTTATTAAGATTAACCAGAAGTATAAACTAGTCCTAGAAAATAAGAAGATTAATATAATTAAGAAATATAAAGAACCTTAAATAGTAATTAGAACTATTAATATAATCTGCAAAGATGATTATAATATAATTAAACTAATAAAATATATTAGGAACTTTAACCTATCTTTTAATATTTAAGATCTATTCCTTGGTAAAGAAGAAACCCTTAAGAGATACTACCTATATCTAGAACTAGAATAATAACCTATCTTAGGATACCTAGCTCTTATAGTAATGACCTATATGCAAAGTAAAAGCGAAAAATAAGCTAAGAAAAGAGTATATAATGTGAAAAGGTAAGAAGATCCTGAATTTAGAAGAAAAGAAAGCAAATAATAAAAATAATAAAGACTAAAGGTAAAATAAGATGCAGAAGTTAAACTTAAATAGGTATTAATACCTAAACTAGAAATATAATACCTTATTAAAGGAAAATCTATATTTATAGTTAAAAAGGGAAAAGAAGTTAACCCTAACCTAGATAATAAACTAAGTACTATAAAAAATGGCCAAGGAACCTACTTAATAGTAGACAAAGTCCCTGTTAAAGTTACCCTAAAATGACTAAACTAATATATTAATAACCTAAACTACCTAGAATCTTACCAAGCCTAGAGAGAATTTAATGCCAGATATATTAGATATAAGGAAAATAAAATAGTCTAAAATACGGAAATTATACCCTAATACGATAAACACAGAGTCTATTTCTAAAATAATAAATATTAGAAATATATAGAACTTATAAGAGAATATGCAATTATAAAACAAGATAATAATATCTATATCTAAGTATATATAAAGGAAGTAGTAAAAGACTCTATAATACCTAAAGAATATATTTAGATTAAAAAAGATCTAAGGAGATACCTAAATTACCTAAACTACTAGTAGATATTATAGATATTATATATATAATACTACTGCCTATAACACTAATAAGATAAAATAGTAAATAATTACTTCCTAGTATAAATTAATAAGTATTAAAAATAAAAACCTTATATAATTATTAATACTATTAGATATTAAGTTATAAAGAGATATAGAGGATCTTAAGTAATAAAACTAAAAGCTTATATTAAAATATAAGAATAAGCTCTAGTATATATCTAGAATTCCTAATATATTACCTAGTAGAGATAAAAAGTATAATAAGAAGTTAAGATTACTAAGGATAAAGCACTTAACTAGGAACTTAACTAAATTAACTAAGATATTACCTAATAGGAAGAAGAAGCATCTTAAGATAAATAAGATATTATCTAACAGCTAGATAAGTAATAACTATAAGAATACTTAGAAGAATTAAAATAAGAAAGAGGAAGACCCCTTACTAAAAAAGAAAAAGCAGATATTATCCTAGATTATAAAATAAAAAAAATAAAAGCTATATATTAATAATAACTTACTACCTAATATAAATATCCTAATAATATTAACTATATTAGAAGCAAATATAATATAGACTACCTATAGGGAAAAGGCATATACTATCTATAATAAAGCGGCAGATAGGCAAAAAAGCAAAGGAAAATAAACTCCTAGAAAAAGCTCTAAGAATAACTATAAAAGGAAGTTAATAAACCTGCCTAAAATTAAAAGTCAGAATTAAGGATAAGTAGCTAAATACACTTATAGATAGCAGAGCTAATATAAATTTTATTTCCCCTGAAATAGTTAATAAACTAAGGCTATTATAGAGAAATAAAAAGGAACCCTATATTATAAAGAACAGAGAAGGAGGCACCTATAGTTATAATAATAGAAGAATTACCTAAGAGATTAATTACCTTAAGGTATTTATTAACGGAAAAAACTAAGGTAT